ACAATTCAAATCCATAGTGTTCAGGCATGGTTCATAGCATAAGATTCACACATGAAATGGATGTGTTTCACAATAAGCGCAAAATTAAGCTTGAGACACATGACGATGACGTGTGGAATTTTTTGAGTGCAAGAATGTCGGAACAGAATTTTGGTTTTTGAACGAAAAAACTACTTTTGAAATTCCTTTAAATATATTACACACACTCAAGCACAGCAAAGTCACAAATAACCTACTCGAAATCAATCGGCATAGTTGGTAAATCATTTAGTTTTAGATTGACCCATTGCGGATGCATATTAGTTTTGAAAAGTGGCTTCGAAAATTTCCTTTCATTCAACCATTAAGAAATACATTTTACGTGAGATCAAACTTTATAATATCGTAAACTTCATGTGTTTCTTAATGTAGCTTTAGGCATAGTTACATCAATAATCTCACAGTATTTATTATAGACATTCACAATTCTATTAATTGGTCGATTTTTTTTCCATAAGGTGTTCTATTTGGAATAAATTCCAAATTCTCAACATGCGTGATGCTGCATAAAAACATTAAAAGTGCTAATAAATTTTCAGAATTTACGCACTGTGAGAATACATCATTAACAAAAGAGATTTTATAACGGCGCCGACTGGGATTGAACCCAGGCCTACTGGGGTGAGAGGTAATCACGCTTACCACTACACCACCGGCGCCGTTGAGTTTTTTTTTGTGTCTTTAAGTATTTCCTTAACAACATCAGAAAAATTTCGGGAGTCATAGTTTTGAGAATTTAATTATTCATTTAAAAAATTATCCGAGAATTTCTGATAACTTCTGACAGCTCTGAGGACTGTAAAATGTACTACGGGTAAGTTTTTAAGATCTAAGGAAGTTTTTCAGAGAACTCAATAATAATTTCTGAAACTTCACACTGCAAAAAACGTCGGGATGTTATGAGATTTTCAGGAAGAGCAGTTCCAGAAACATCATCAGAAGAATAACGTGAACTTATAGCAGCGCTGGTGGTGTAGTGGTAAGCGTGATTACCTCTCATCCGAGCAGGCCTGGGTTCAATGCTCGATTTGGAGTTGGTGCCGGGATGTTCTGAGGCATATAACATCTATGATCACGCCTTCCTTCGAAAGGGAAGCAAAGCCGTTGGTCCACGGTTCATGAGTAGATGAGTCGATTGGTAGGGTCCAGGTGTGGGAACTGCCTCCCTGGCTTCGGTAGCATTGGTGCTCAGCACGGAAAACAAGACCGACGCAAAACAAATCAAGGAAAATAATAAAACGAGAACTTTGGAATAGAGATTTCGTTTTTATGGCTTTCTCAGTCTAGGGAAATCCAAACAGTTAGTTGTGCTTTGCCCGACGTTTCGGCCGTTTATTGTGGCCTTTTTCAACGGCCGAAACGTCGGGCAATGCACAACTAACTGTTTGGATTACCCTAGACTGAGAAAGTCATAAAAACGAAATCTCCATACAACCAGGCGAACAACCAAATCAATCACTTTGGAATAGATTAGAGAACTTCTCAGAGTGGTCCACATATTTTTAAAGAACCTTAAAGAAGATCCGAGGAATGAAAGGAAATACTACGGATTTCGGGAAAATGTCATGGACAGACTGCGGGATAGTAAGGTAAAATATGAGCATTTCTATTAAATTTTGGGCACTTCAGGAAAGCTGTGAGAACTTTAAGGTGTTTCCATCAGCTTCATGGAAACTGCAGGAAGTTGTAGGAAGTCAAGAAAACTTCAGAAAAGTGAAAAGAACTTGAACATCAGACAAGCTAGTTCTTGAGATCTTCAGACAGGGCTCACAGATCTTAATTTCAGGAAAGTCTAGACTTTTGGGGTAGTTTAAAGATCTGTAAAGGTTCATTTCTAGACTATAAATTCACGATAGCTCCATGAAAATTTCGAGAAACTTAAACTCCTGAGTAATTTAGAAAACTTTTTATATATTTTGTTCAGGGATTATCTTCAGGTTTAGAACTTTATGAGAACTGCATGAACTTCCGACTAGCGTCAAGAACATCAGATAATCTCAGTGCAGTTCAATTAACGTAACTAGGAACTCAGGGGACTTCCAAAAACTTCAGCAAAGTTCTCAGATCTTCAGAGAAGTCCTAAGAACTTTAAAGAAGTTTTTACATTTTTAGGCACTTTCAAATTATGTTTTGGAATGATCATAGTGATTAGAGATCTTCAAAGCAGCTTCTTTAATTAATTGTTGGAATGTTGAAAAATTCCCGAGAAATTATAGGGGAATTGGATGTAATGTCGGCCTAAATGCCCCTAATTTGGGCCTATATATAAATTCAGCAATCGAATACATTTTTAATAGCGACCAAAAACATCCATTAGTACCGTCCCAATGACGCGTTCATCTAGATAAAATTGATGAATAGCAGATTTTAGAGCAAATTCTCCCAAAAAATAACAAAAATCTCAGGAATGTTTCCAAAAATTTAGGAATATTGTAGGGTTTTGAAGGAAATTTCATACCATGCCACGAAAACTACCATGAGGAACGAAAACTTCCGGTTCGATTTTAGCTGAACTGAATAAACTTAAGTTTTAAAAATTATAGCAAAATTTAGGAACCTCTGGATAGATCAATGAACTTCAGGAAAATGTAATTTTGAAAATTTTACTAGATCCATTGGCCAAAGTTTAGCAAAAATGTGAATCATGAGGGGTCATGCCCCTATTTTGGTCATCGATCGCTAAAGGAGAAATCTGACGAAAGCTTCTAGAAGACGTTGTTCGGCTCCTCTCCAAATGGCTTGCCTCCGAGTTGATCTTAAATGTGGGCAATATTTAGCCATTTATGCACTTCAAAAATGATGATTTTAATCAAGTCCAAAATCCAGCAACACTTCCACCACAACATACACTCTGCTGCAGTAGCAGCTGTTCGCTTCGTACATCGCGAGAGTACTCCTGGGTGATTCCTCCGAGGACTCCGCGCCACCGAAAAACAGCAGAGCGACTGAGAGTGAGAGTCAACAACCGAAAGCAGCGTTATCCTTTCGTCTATGCGACGACCGCACATCCGCACGTAGACACTCGGCACACTTCATTTGTGTGCAAGCTCCGGTGCAGGAAGGATCCTCGACCCGTTACGCTCCCAGTCGGTACCATGTGCTGTTGGTGAATTCCATTCGACCCCCCGATGGTTATAAACAAGCTCTACTAAAGTGGGATTACAGGCTTCGGTGATTATCATTCTTTAATCGAACGTCTTAGTTGTCGTCATTGCGTAAAATTTAAGGTGTGCGTTCGTTTGTGGTGATCCTGAAAGGGCAAAAGAAAAGAAAAATGAAGGAAGAAACATGTGAGTGACAAAGGAAAAGCAAGGAAAAAAGGATAACGTAGTGCGTAAGGAGGAATATCGACGGTGTACAGAGAAGAGACGGGGAAAGAGGTCCCTTAAGGTGGTGAGGAACGTCACGTCGTCAGTCATCGCGCCGACAACCTGACGAACCGGGATTAAGGCCAAAGCGGTGCGGCTCCTGTGTAATTCGGTGGAAAATCGTCCTTCAAATTGGATTAATATCGGTCTGTAATTGAATTGGCCCAGTGCCAAGGAGGAGGCGAGAGGGTCAGTGAATATTCGGGGAGTGTACGTCAACAAAAGCGAGAGTGAGTCGTTGAAGAAAAAAATAAAAGTGTCACTGACAACAAGGGGGTTTGTGCGGTCAGTCGGTCGATCGGTCCGAGAGCGTCTGCGAGAGTGTTGTTGTATGTGGGCGGTGGCGGAGGTGGTCAACAATCACCGAGAGTGAGAGTATTTCTCCTGTGCCGTGCATCATCCCGCAGTGATCGTCGTCCTCCTCAGTGGAAGTCCAGAGGATACATAATAATTCAATCATTTATTAAACATAATCACATTAAAAACAGTTACCGGCAGTCCGTGTGTCGTCAGCCGGTGTGTTTGCCTAGTAGCTTTATGTCTGTGCACGCGTGTGACCTCCCACTTCCGGCGTTCAGCACGAATCGAGTGTATGAATAAAACATCAATATTACGATAATAAAATAAAGCACATTTTCCAACGAATGAATTAATCAGTTTAATTATTGTGTGAGGACGGACGGACGGACGGACGGCTGGATGGATGGTGGTTGTGCGTTGATGGGCTACTGTAAATGATGATATAAAGTCGTTCGACGTTGCGGTGGCAGTGTTTCAGTGATTCAAAGTGTCAACTGGTGGAAACAGCCGTTTTCGTGGATTCGTGGAAAGTGATTAATTTTTACCCTCGCGGCCCCGCTGGGTCACATACACACTCACAAACACACACTAGCATAGCACCACCCAAACAGCAGAGAGGCCGTGCCTCGGATTTTCCATCATTCCAGTACTCAGCAAACAAGTTGTTAATATGACTGCCAATTTGAAGGTGCGCGCGCTATTCATGCGATAATTATATTTAATTTGTGCTTGTAAATATTTTAAAACATGCAATAGTGTGATGAGAGCGAGTATAAGCATAAGAGAGAAAGAGAGAGAGAGAGAGAGAAAGGGGGGGGGGGGTGCGATTGAAATTGTGAGTGAACGAGAAAACCATTATTGTGTGTAACCAAACGTGACACAGTTGTGTCACGATCGGTATTTGATACGTTGGAAATCGGCGATGCCCCCTCTGGAATCCCGTTCCAGCCCGGCTCCTCCCAAATGGTGTATGCGGATAGCAATAAAGATTATGCTAATTAGAGTTCGATGAATTATGATTATCCGATTGAAAACCGAAGTGGCTGGATGGCGGTTTTCCGGTGGGGGTATCAGCCTAATCGGATAATTACATTTACACTTAAACATGATTGCTTTCCAGGTGGGGGTATAAGCAGAGCCCGATTTGATAGGCATCATCAACTGCTTGTTTTCCTTTGTGTTTATGTGGTGGGGTGCAATTAATAATCGATAAGGGGGTAATTTTAGTGCAGGCTAATTTGTGTGTGTGTTTACGATCTAATCAATTCTTTTTTTTTGTGGTTATTTTTACAGGGTCCTCCCCCGCAGGGGCGACAATTTACAATTGCGGAAACGCTCGAGCGGATAAAGGAGGAGTTCAACTTCCTGCAGGCACAGTATCATTCGTGAGTATTGGCAATTTGCGATGTGTATTTTTTTTTCATTGGTGTAAACTGTGTCCATGTGCTTGTCTGGCAAAATATGATGGGTGATTTCGATTTACATAATTCATCGACCAGCAAAAAAATCTAATTTACTACGGAACACCCCCAGAACTGTGCCTTTAGGTGATAAAACCACTCTTTGAAAGTTTCAGCTCATTTAGTTGTAACATGAACTGGCGGTTTTGGTTGTATGCGGTTTATGATCAACATGTAGGGGACGACGGGGTAAGACGGTCACATAAACTCGAAGTAATTTTAACCAAAACTGTATAAAATTTTGTGATTATTGATTTTCAGAAAATTTCCTTCTTATTTGATAATATTTTATCACGAATCAAAATCAGACTAAATAATGAAAGATCATGCGTTGGCCACTAGACCGATGTAAAATTTGAAATATGTACTCCACTGTGCTCAAATGGTTTCAAATCGGGTCCTGATTAGCCTCCCAAAATTTAAACTCATTTGGTAAGAAACTGACCTGGCACAAACCATTTGATGTTTATATTGCAATTACTATGGGAAAACCAAACTTTCTGCTCATTGTCATCCAGCCTTTTTCCATATTGCACTGTTAAAAAGTTCTATAACTATTCTTATGGAAAATTTTCTCAGCTACAACTTTGCACAATGTCGTTTTTCAGCCAAACATCAAATTAAATAGTTATTAATTGTTTAAGAGAATTGATTATCTTCTAGCATGATCAAGCAGCTGTTTTGTGGGCAACACTGTATTCTGCAGTGTGACATAGCAGCCATGATATTTGCGCCCTAACGTTTAGCAAAGTTATAGCTTAGGAAATTTCCTACAAGCATAGCTATCAATTTTAAAAGCAGAGTGAAATTGTAAAATTTGAGATAGATATAAACAAAACAAAAATGTTTTACAATAGTAATTTCCATATAAACTTCATAAGGTTTGTGCCAAGTCAGTTTATTAATGAATGAGTTCACATTGTGGGAGGCTAATCAGGTCCCAATTTGGAACCGTTTGAGCACCGTGCAGCGAAACATTCAAATTTTGCATCAGTCTATTGGCCACCCCTAGGGGTAAGACGGCCACATGAAATATAAAGTGATCCTGGCCATATAAAAGGTTACTGTCTTCGGCAAAATTTCACAGTACGTCAAGGTGGATAGAGAAAAGTAGTACATAGTTTTCGCACTGTGTGGCGCTAATGTGCAAGTCAATTTCCTGTATAAAATATATATTGAGATTTTTACTATGTAGAATGTTTCCGTTTTCGGGAAAGTTGTTCAGGTGATCAATGTCTTTAAATGTGTGGGTTAGTTCATTCATAATTCTCGCACTACGTGACACTAGTCTACGTGTGGATTTCACGTAGATATGCCGTGACAATATTTCTCTTATAGTTTGGACCCTTAGAAATCTTTGAAAAATATGATTGCTTTAGGTTCCAGTAAATTTTAAAGATTTAAAATATTGTAAAATGAACTCTGAACAACATTCCCCAGAGTTACCGTCATACACAAGTTTGGTTGTACCGTAATGCACTGAAATCTAAGTGTCCGGAAAGAATAAATCAAGACACTTTTAAAAGTTAAATATCAAAGCCTACCATGCCCAAAATAGCACGTAAAATTTATTATGACTTTATGTTCTTTATGTTGCAAAGTCGACGTAACTATTAATTAAAAATGAAATGTCCGGATTAACGGCCTGTCCGGTATTCGGTGGATTACGGTACCACCCCTTGCTATCATTTGGAGTGTGTGCCCCCAGCTTTCCTAACAAAGTTGAATTTTGGGCCGCCCTAATGATCATACAATTGGTCAATAAACAAGCCGTTAAACAGAAGCTCCAATAAGTGTGGAGAAGAGCCCGCCCTTTATCCACAAAATGTTAACAACAGGAAGATGGCAATTTCACTCTCCCCATACAGAACGCTTCCATTTGGTCCCTCCCAATCCCCAACATAGGTATATATAATATATAATGAATTCTGAAATAATCAGAGTAAAATAATGTGGACAGGTTTCACCAAATTCTCCTTTGATGGATTCTGTCTCAAGGCATTAACACTCCGAATACGGTGGGTAAAAAACTTTACGCCGACTACGAAGTCTCCGAAAAACGTGTAACGGCAAGTTTGCAATGGCATAACTTAGCCATTTCTTAATGAATTTTAAAAATTGTGGTACCTTTAGAATTCCTAGAGTTTGTAGATGATTTTGATTGCAAAAATATTGAAAATAGAGCCGTCTCCTTTTTTAAAAAGCGAAAAGAGTTGTTACACGTTTTTTTGAAAAGTGTGTTTATAGGGTTTTGCAAGTGGCGCAAGATCTGTAATTTAGATTAATGGGCACAAATGTTCACAATTAGCCAGAATACAGTCATGGTTCCTATATATGGATCCTGGAGACAACGAAACGGTCCTCGAAAAATCCGGAACATCCGTAAAAGTGGTCAATCCTTGAACCTTATCCTAGAGCTCTGCGGTTTTTTGAAAACATTAGGAACCGTGATACAAAAAAAATTGTGGTTCGTGACATAAACATGTCCCTGAATGGCCATGAGACCGTCCTCCGGAAGATCCGAAACATCTGTGAAAGTGGAAAATTCACGAAACTGATCCTAGAGCTCCGTGGTTTTCTTGAAAACGTTAGGATCTGTGATATTAGAATGAATTTGGGATCGTGACATAATCAAGGACTCAGATGGCCATCGAACCGTCCTCCGGAAGATCCGAAAAAATCGGAAAAGTGGTCAATGTGTGGAACTGATCCTAGAGCTCCACGGTTTTTTCGAAAACACTTGGAACTGTCATAGATAAATTAATTTCCGGCGTGACATAAACATGTACCTAGAAGGTCATGGGACTGTCCTCCGCAAGATCTAGAACATCTTTTAAAATGGTCAATCCTCGAAACTGATCCTAGAGTTCTACGGTTTTTTCGAAAGCATGTGGAACTGCGATATAAGAAAGAATTTGGGGTCATGACATAAACATGGACCCAAATGGCCATTGAGCCATCCTCTGGTAAGTCCAGAACATCCGTAATAGAGGTCAATCAATGAAACTAATCCTATAGCTCAGCAGTTTTTTTTTAAACATAAGGAACTGTAATATTTGTGGTCGTTACAAAAACATGGACCTGGATGACCATAGGAAGATACGAAAAATCCGTGAAAGTGATCAAGTGGTTTCTTATATCACAGTGTTTAAAAAAGAACTGCAGAGCTCTAGGATCGATTCGCGAATATGAACCCATGAATCCCGGCAGGTATTGCCCCACGAACTCTCTTGCAAATGGTGACAGGCGGCGGCATATAATTTGAGAAAGTACCTTGTAGGCGGCGCTCAGCATTGTGGTCGCGTGGTAGTTGCAGCAATCCATAGATTGGGCATACAACACCTTCCATCCACTCCTCCGGTAATATCTCCTCCCAAATCTAGGCAATTACCCAGTGCAGCGCTCTAGCCAGTACTTCACCACCGTATTTTAAAAGCTCACTTGGTAGTTGATCTACACCAGTTGCTTTATTGTTCTTCAGCCGACCGATCTCCTCCTCAACTTCTTGAAGATCAGGGGCCAGTAGCCTGTCGTCTTCTGTGCGTACTCCAAGGTCTGTTGCCGTGCCACCTTCGTTTTCTGCTGCATTACCGTTGAGGTGCTCGTCATAGTAATGCTTCCACCTCTCAATTTTATGAAGTGACCATTTTACGGATGTTGTTGATCTTCCGGACGACGGTCCCATGGCTATCTATGTACATGTTTATGTCACGACCACAGATTCATTCTTATATCACAGTTCCTAATGTTTTTGGAAAAAAAAAACTGCGGAGCTCTAGGATCAGTTTCATTGATTGACCTCTTTTACGGATGTTTTGGACTTACCAGAGGATGGCCCCATGGCCATTTGGGTCCATGTTTATGTCATGACCCCAAATTCTTTCTTATATCGCAGTTCCACATGCTTTCGAAAAAACCGTAGAACTCTAGGATCAGTTTCATTGATTGACCATTTTAAAAGATGTTCTAGATCTTGCGGAGGACGGTTCCATGACCTTCTAGTTACATGTTTATGTCCCGACCGCAAATTAATTTATATATGACAGTTCCAAGTGTTTTCGAAAAAACCGTGGAGCTCTAGGATCAGTTCCACACATTGAAAACTTTTCCGATTTTTTCAGATCTTCCGGAGGACGGTTCGATGGCCACGCTGGGACGCTTAGGTCGACACTTGGGATATTAATCCCCCTATGTTTCAGGATAGTCGAGTTTTACTTGAGCTTACTCCAAGGGGTGATCAACTCTGCACACCCTAATCTGTGCCACGAGATTTAGTTGCTGTGCCGAAAGCTGTGCCAAAAGCTGGGCCAGGCGCTGTGCCGAACGTACCAAAGTAGGCCGAAGTGTAACAATCAAGGTGTCAATATCCCATGAGTTTGGCCACCCTGTAGTTATAAAGACTGTTATGATTGTGTTTACATTTGCAATTTCTATGATGGTTTATGGTAAACATTAAACATCATTCACATTTGAACGTGAGCGGAGCGGGCAGTGGAAGAGGAACTGGAATCTATCCAACCAAGCAAATTCGACCCGGCCAAAGGAAACTTATGCAGAAACGAAGGTGTAACCTAATTGATGGTGGACGAAATTTCCTCAAGCTGCCTGTTAACCAGAACTCAAACGGGCGAAAGTTCAATCCTAGCATAGAAACAACATCCTGCATCTATCAGTTCATCTGATCGACTCAGAAGTACGTGACCTCGAAGACATCACCCAAGCCTATCGTGTTGCTGATTCTGATGAATCCTACCACCACCCATTAACAAACGTTCAAGCCTACCAAGTTCACGATCTAAATATCCCCCTACTCCAGATCAGTCATACTTCGGAAATGGTTTGTGATCCAGATAAGCTTCGCATCTGCAGTTCTACTGCAGGCAGAACCCTGTGGTTGTTGTTGTTCATCTACACGCCCAAGGACT